TTTAGAGAACAAGCAGAGAACAGGTGTTAGGGTGCAGGGATGAGTCCTAACACCTGGGAATGAGTCAGCATTTTGTCTCAGCATCAGAATTCCTTTATTACATTTACATTCTTACAGAAAAGAGACAGTGCTGATCCAGAGGAAATAAAACAGTATAACAGTATTTAGTGAGCACATATTCAAAAGTGCAATAAAATCACACATTTGAAAGATAAAAAGGTAAGTCGTGGCTTTATAAAACAAATAATACATAAGTGAAAGAAGTAGAAAGCAATGAAGCTGTGAGGTTGAAAGTTTAAAACCAGAGGAGCAGCTGAATGAATATAAACTGAAAAAGCACACTGCCCTCTCCTCCTCCCTATCCAGGCCCCATGCTGCCCTCTCCTCCTCCCTATCCAGGCCCCATGCTGCCCTCTCCTCCTCCCTATCCAGGCCCCATGCTGCACTCTCACTTGAAGAGCATGTGCACCGGTATAATAACACCCTGCATGAGTGCCTCGACAGGCTGGCACCTGAAATAAGCCGAGTGGTGTCTTTCCATCGCTCTGCCCCATGGTACACTGACCAGCTCAGAGCGCACAAATCAGAGGGTCGGAAGATTGAGCGCAGATATAGGAAAACTGGCCTAACTGTCCACCTGCTCTCTTTGAGAGATCACCAGAAGGCCTATTCCTCGGCATTGAGAGCAACCAGGTCAGCCTACTACTCCAATCTGATTGAGACAAATCGTAACAAACCCAAGCACCTATTCTCCACAATGCATCGGTTGCTCAAGCCCAGTGATCCCTCATCAACCACTCCTACAACTGATGACTGCAACCGCTTTATGGAACTTTTGAAAACAGAAATTGAAAACATCAGGCTTAACATCGCCAAAGCCTCCTCAAACCAACCTGTCTCTCCACAACATCCTGTACTTGCTCCACCAAATGCACCAACCCTAAACTGCTTCACGGAGGTCACGCAAGCTGAGCTTTCAAAAATCATCTCAGCGATCACATCACCACACACCTCCCTACTGAAAGCCTGCTCTCCTTCCATTATTCCAACTGCCACCATCATAATAAACAGATCCCTGTTGAGTGGTGAGGTCCCCCCCCCCCCTCAAGCTGGCAGCCATCAGACCTGTCCTCAAGAAGCACAACCTGGATCCTGAGGTACTCTCAAGCTACCGCCCCATCTCAAACCTGCCTTTTCTAGCAAAAGTTCTGAAAAAAGTTGTTGACCTTCAGCTTCACGAACATCTCCACACTCATGAGCTCTATGAAACCTTCCAGTCTGGTTTCAGACCAGCTCACAGCAATGAAACAGCTCCGGGGCCTCATTTATAAA